AGCAAGCGCGACCCCCATCTCCGATCCCCCTTCCAGGGAGATCATCGTGAGCCCCTGGGCCCGTACGTTGCCCCACTGGCCCTCATCGGAACAATGGGTCTCTGCCCTGCTAGTGGGTTGGAGTAGCAGGCGCGAAGCATGTGGCTTACCTTTGGCCATGGTGACCATATTGTGCGGGCATCTGCACAGCTCAGCTCCCGCCTTCTTGAGCCCATCGCTTGGTCGTTGCCCTCCCTCTCGAACAGGCTGATCCATCCATCTCGAACGTCAGCCGCGGAGGCGCGGGCCGCTACCCTGCAGAAATCCACCAGCTCAGGCCTTCCTTCTCGACGCGCCTCCTTCCACAGATGGGCCCTGGTGTTGCCAGGCCGCTGCGCATACCTCGCATCCCAACAGCACTGAACCGCCCTTTTGCAATCGGAATATATCGTATATCTGCCATGCTTCAGGGCCATGAGCGCAGCATAACCTTCCCCGTCCCGAGCTACTTGGCCGGGGCCCAGATGCGGGGGGGCCGCTCCATGCCACCCCACGAAGGGTCGGCATTCCTGCTCATAGACTGTCACTCCCCAGCCAGCAACCCGAAAGGACGGAAACAGCCCGTCGACACCAGAGCCATCGCAAAACAAATTGCCCCCGTCCGAAGCCAGGGGCGGAGCAAGCCTTTCAACCTTGAACCCCCACTCTGGGTTCCACCTTGGGCGGGAGAAGGCCGGGCACGGGCCAGGCATGATCCCTATCGAAAAACGTTTTTGCACATGCTCGGTCCCAGCTTGCAAGCGTCTGACAGAGGCTACCACGTCCTGTGGGAGGATGTCCCTCCCCCGTGCTTGGCGGGCTGGGCACTCGAAATGGCCCTGCAACAAGTTGCCTCTAACATCCCCGCAAATGAGGCACTGCTCTGGCAGCTGAGCGTCGTGCTTGTGCAGCCTGGCTCGGCACCAATGCGATCCAATGGCTAGGCCGCGGAGGACTCTTTGCTCCCGAATCCTCCACCGCCCGTCCGAGGCCCCAGCTTCCTCCTCTAGCGAGGCCTTCCACCTGCGATGCAAACGCGCATCGAGGGGTCGCCAACACACGTCGCCTGTCCATGTTTTCCGTTGGCCAACCTTGGCCAAGCCTCCACGGTCAGAGGCACGCCTGGCTGCGAGCTTCGCTCTCCTAGCCACCATCGCTGGAGGCACCTGGCAAAGGTCCCAGACCTCACCAGTGGCCGCGCGCAATGTCCACGGGTCGTCAAAAACGAGCCCAACTCGTACACGATCGAGAAGAAGGCTGCGAAAGGCCGAGGCAGCAGGGGCGCCTCCATGCCGCGGTCGAAATGCGACTGCAGCGCCACAGGCGCCAGGGGCTGACCCTTCAGAATCTGACTGCGCGCGCGGAGGGCGTCAGCCGCAATGATGGCCAACGGATCTCTGACCCAGCTTCCTCGAGCACACATGGAGGCCAGTTCTAGGGAGTACCCTTCCGGGGGTCTCCCCTCCGCCCTGGGCGCAGCCAGGCGAAGCCGTGTCAGCTCGGCGTCGAGGGGGGCCGACAGGGCCTTCGAAGCGATCCCAGCCTTCAAGGTCGACCCACGCGGGGCCCCTGCATTGCTCGGCGAGAGAACCTTGGCAACTTCTTACTGGGCCTCGCACAAACGCTTGTGCTGGGTGCTGGGTGCTGGCCCTCCGTCTAGCTGCCCATGGCGTCGCCTCCTAGACCCCTGTGGACCCGGGCTCTCTCCGACGAAGGCAAGCTGCACAGCTTGGCTACTTCGTCCGCCAGGGTCGTCGAGGACGCAAGCAGGCCTAGCTTGTTCTCGGCAGCGGGAAGCCCCGTGCGCTGCAGGTCGGCGGTCAGCGAACGGAGAGACGCGACCAGTTCTCGGGTGATGACCTGCTCTCCTCCAACTGCATGCAGCGGCGCGCCATCAATGACATTATTTATGCACGCCGCGGGGCCCCCAACCGCTGCCCTGCGGGGGCGAGCAGAACGGCCAGCAATGACTGCGCCATTCGGCTGGACCTCTCAAAAGATGGCCCCTTGCCAAGTCACTCGCCGAGGCCCCCGATACAGGCGACAGTATGCCCGCAGCAAAACCAACGGAAGAGAACTGGCACGGGCCGTTGCCAGCAATTGCTCGTGCGAAATATGTTCGTAAAAATTCTGCTGGTCCAGCCTTGGGACAGACCTGGCGCAAGCGCCCAGGGCGTTGTGGACCCAGGCGCTCTAGTCGCAAGCCGTGCTCGAGCTGAGCCCCCAGGAAAAATTTTCGTCGACCGTCCGTTCCCATGCCGCGCGCAGGCCATGCCGCATGCGGCCCCATGCTCTGGCCCAGGGGGGGAGGGGCCATTGTGGGCCTCGACCCTCCTGTCGGCTTGTGTAATATCAACCGAGACCGTTCGCATCCGCCCCGCATCAGGAGATCTCTCCCAAGCCGTTAGAACCCCCGCAAACGCCTCCACCACGGGCCAGGGGAGTCGCAGGAAGAGGCGAGGACAAAACGCGCCCCACCCAAAAACTGTCGAGGGACTAAAAGAGACCGCGGCCGCCAGCACCTGGTCAGCCGCGATTGGTGGGAGGTCGTCAGGGACCGACCAGCCATTGAGAGCTTTCCGAGGCTCTGGAGGGTTTGGTCTAAATTAGGACCCAGTCTCGTAAACATGCGATCGAGCGCCGCTTGGCCCACTAGCGGACAAATGCCATCCGCGGCCCCCGTGCCTTCGGCGCCCCCCTCACCCGCAGCCGCGATAGCAGCCGCAGCTGGAGGGCCAGAGGGCCCTTCGGAGAAAACAGGCAGCGGCGGAGGACAAGAGCCTGTCGAGTACCTGTGAGCCGCCCGTCCTCGTCGCACAACAGCAGACTGGGCCCGCGCGGTCCATCTCTTTCGGCCTTCCGCTGTCTCTTGCCGCACTCTGCAATTAATTTCACGCTGGATCGCGCCTGCTAGGTCCGAACAGCCGGGCCCATCCAGCCCTCGAAAAAGTTGCCCTATAGTTAGCGACGCCGGCAGGAGGTCTTGCAACGGCAGCGCTGAGGCAAGCAGGCGCCCCCGCCTATCTGGGGATTTGGTCTTCATGCACTGCAGGGCTAGGCGACGCAGCGACAGCCATCGCTGGGTGAGGGGTTGGGAGCTGCATGTGCAACTCCTGCCCCCACGATGCCTCGAGCGGCGCCAACTTGACCTTGCATCCTTTGGCCTTGCCAAAACACCGGCGATCTTTACTGCCATGTAGGCGCCCAAGCGCCGCCTCGGCCGCAGTGAACCAGCGCTCCATCGCGTCTTGGGGCTCTACTTTCTCCCAGTCAAGCGGGAGCTCTCGCAGGCCTGGTTCACGCTTTACGCGGGCTTTCGCTTCGCCGTTCTGGGGCAGGGGAAAGCCTCGGGGAACCATTCGCTGCCGCACTTGCCGCAATTTCAGCAATGCAGCAGAGTGCGGCCACGCGTGCGCGTCAGCCTGCCCTGCCCGATCCTGGACGCGGTACCCCAGACATCGGCTCACCACGAACAAATCACAGCAATTGCTGTGACAGGTGGCCCCTGGGGGTCTCGCGACCGCGGCCCCGAGCTGATCTTCCGATTGAAACTCTATCAGCTGCTCAGCGCCGGCTTTCAAATCACCTCCTATGGCAAAAGGGCAGCCAGCAGCGTCCACTGCTTCACTGCGCTCGTCCAAAAAAGAAATGCTGGCACCTGCCAGTCCCAGGGTCGCGCGGCCGTAGATCGACACAAAAAGGTACTGCACAATCACCTTTAGCATACATAGCCGCTCAGTCCACCGTTCAGGCGCGTACTCACAACTGCCGAAGTGCGTCTTGCTGAATATGGCCGTGCCCCCAGGTGTCTCACGAGCTCCTGCGCCCGTTTCTGGCCGCAGACGCAGACCATGCCATGTAGCCCGCTTTGTGGCGCCAGCTGCGGGCCGCCTTGATACGCGGGACCCCCAATCGATGCTCCTGAAAGAACAAGGCATCACACGTTGCTTGGTGAACCTCGCGGGCCCGCTCCATGTAACCTTGAGCCGTCGGCCACGACTTGCAGTTCTAGCTGACCACGTGTAGGTCCCATCTTGCAGCTGTCGGCGTACGGAGGGGCCCTCTAGCGCTCGGGGCTTCGGCCGCCAGCACATCTGCGGCCTAGGGGCGAGGAAGGGTACGACCGAGGGCCTCGGCCACCCGCGCGTCTGCGGCCTCGATCCAGCACCCTGCTCCTTCCTCCTTCAGGGTCTGCCCCGCCACGGGCCCCCCAGGGGCGAGAACGCCACGCCCCGCCGCGCCTTGGGAGCCGCAGCGCCCTGGGGCACCGACCACCTGCCTGTCGGCGGCCCAGGGCGTCGGCTGGGCCTGATCGAGGGCGTCGACCACCGTCGCGCCTGCGGCCTCGATCCAAGGCCCGCTGCTCCCTTTCGAGGTCTGCCCGTCTGCGGGCTCCCTCAGGACCTGTTGCGGCCCTGACTCTCGGCAAGGCGCTTCTGGGGGAGGGCCGTTCCACCCTGGGGCATCGACCACCTGCGCGTCTGCAGCCCAGAGTGAGGGTTGGGTCTGATCGAGGGGATCGACCACCCGCAAGTCTGCGGCCTCGATCCAAGACCCGCTGCCCTCCTGTAGGGTCTGCCTTGCATTGGGCTCCCAAGGGGCCACCAGCCCCGAAACATCAGCTCGCCGTCGCCCTGCCAGCTGGCCCCTGAAAAAAACAAGTAGACGTCGCAGTTCGCCCCAGTGGTGTTCAGCAAAAGCCTGCCACGCCTAAGCTGGCAGCGGCCTCATCACCTCACGCAGGGCCTTGCGGTGACCCATGGCCTCCTGCCAGGCCTCTCGGCACACCTCAAACACCACTTGCTCCAGCTCCCCTGGGGCTTCCTGGCCGTGGCCCCATCGGGTGCGACCGCTATACGTGCGCACCAGCGCCCTCCGAAGTTCAGCTCTGGAGTCCTCGCGTAAAACAAAACGGTTGAGGTACTCGCACCAGTGCTGCCAGGATACTCTGTCCTGCGACGTCTCACGCTCCAAATCCAGACCCGGCGCGTACTCCAATTGGTCGCCGATTGGACAAACTCCCTGTTGTTCTTGTCGGGGTCTTCTTGCGGCAGGATCCCAAACGGCTGATTTCCCACCAGCTGGCGACCTGCCTCGTCTGGCATAAGGCGCTGATGCTCACCTTCGGCCAGCTTGGCTCTGGCCGCCTCGACTGCTGCCTCCAGCAGCTGGCCGCTGGGAGCGGACCCAGAGACAGGGGCTCCTGCTGTCTCAGGCACTGCAAGCTCAGCACCAGGAGCGTCGGCAGGAGCCGCTGGAGGAGCCTCCGCCACCTTGGGTGGTGGCGATCCACTGGCCGAGGCGTCCTTCGGGCTCTCCTCGCGGTCGTCCTTGCGGGCTCGCTTGGCCGCGAGGCGTTTGCGCATGTCGCGGGCCACGGGCCTGAGCCGCTGGATGTTGTAGGCGGTGGGGCCGATTCCTGGCAGCATCGCCTCCTGGATCTCGACCGCGATGATGCCCTTGAGAGCGAAGCACTTCCGCTTGTCCTCATCTCCCACCTCGAGGTCACTGAGGTCCAGCAGGTCGCCGCCCTCGATCTCCACCGCTTCGAAGCCGCTCTCATCACCCAGCACCTGCGACACATTGATTTGGGACCCGGTCGGGATGTCCGAGGCCGACTTCGGCGACGGCGTGCCAGGCGACGATCCACGGGTCTTCTGCAACTCCGCCTTGAGCTCCACTTGCCACTCGGACTTGGCCTGCACCGCCAGGACCGCCGCCTCTCTCGTGGTCTGACTGCACTCCGCCAGCCAGAGCTTCGCCTCGTCCTCCCTCGCGACAACCTGCCCCAAGGCCTTCTCAGCCCGCCTGCAGGCAACTCCTGACGCACTAATGGTCTCCTCCAGCAGCGGCGCCCGCGCAGGCTGCGCAGCCCCGGACGGCACCACCGGCTGCACCAAGGCTTGCAGTTCCTGCGCGGCCGCGGCCTAGCCGACGTGCTGCTGGAGCTGGGCGAGGAGCTCAGCGACCGACTGCTTGCCTGCGCCACGCTGCAGGGGCGGCAGCGGCTTGGGCACCTCAATGCGGCTGGGCGCTCAGGAACCTGGCGGTTGGGCTGGGGCCTGCTGACATCCACCCGAGCCCGTGCCAGACGCCCACACCCCTTTGGCTTGTTGCCATGGCGGCGTTCGCGGCGACGGCACCAGCGCACTCCCGCATGAGACACACTGCGTGCGCGTCATCAAGTACCAGCGATTGCCACAGCTCGAGCACGAGAGGTAGCTGTTGGCTGCATCCTTGCCCATGGGCCCCGCAAGGAGCTCACAGAAAGAGAAGACGTGCCAAGAGGCGACGGACACAATCTCGGAGTGGCCCGCGGGGTACACAATCACGTGTGCACACAAACCTGGGCGCTGGCCCAAGGGTCGCAGGTGGGGGCGCACCTCCCCCTTGCCAAACCCACGTCACTGAACCTCCCGCTACGGACTTGAGCCAAAATGGCTACGGACGGAGGAGGAGGAGGAAGAATAAGAGGACGAGGACGAGGACGAGGGCGGGCAATAAGACGGGGACGCGGGGAGGGAGGGGGGGGACGAGGAGGATATGGACGACGACGAGAGGACGAGGAGCACGAGGAGGGCAAACACGAGGAGGATGACGATAACGAAAAAGATGACGAGGATGAGGATGAGGATGACGAGCGCGAGGAGGAGGGGGAGGAGGAGGAGGAGGGGGAGATGAGGAGGAGGACGAGGACGAAGACGGAAAGGAGCAGGAGGAGGAGCAGGAGGGTCAGAACGAGGACCCGGGCAGCCATCTTGGGGTCTTAAGGCCCGCTTGGGATCCTCATGGGGTTGCCTCTGCCTCCCTTTGGGGTTTGTTTGCCAGGTATTGGAGTTTTTTGTGGGCCTCTTTCGGGGAGTCGCGGGGCCCCCATCGGAGCCCTCCTAGAGGTTCATTGGGAGCCCTGGAAGCCGTTTCGGGCCATCTTGGAGGCCATCGATCGAAAGGGGGGATCCTTTAACTACCCCCCCCCCAAAGAGCCCTTGGAATCGCCTCTTGGAGCGCTCTTGGTCGCTCTTGGGGCCGTCTTGGGGGCCTCTTGACCCTTCTTGGGGCTGTCTTGGGCCATCTTAGGGCCATCTTCAGGCCTCACGGGCGCCTTGGAAACGAAAAGGCGAGAAGGCATCAATCCGTGTTCTCCTTGGGATGTTGGATAGATGTTGCCTTCTTGGAGGGATGTTGAGGGCGCTCCGAAAGCACTGGGAGCCGTCTTGAGACCTTCTTGGGGCCTCTTGGAGGCATGTCGGAAGCTACCTTGAGCGGCCTTGGAGGCCATCTTGGAGCATCGGAGCTCATCTAGGAGCCACATTGGGCGAAAACGGACCCTCTGACACCTGGCGGCCCCCCCAAAATAACCTCAGGGAGGGGAGGGTGAGGCCACCCTTCCCAGAAGGGAAGATGGCTTTCGAAGAGGAAAGCAATAACTCGTTAGATCACCTACGCCAAGAGGGCTGGTGGGATTTGACGAAGTGGCCATGGGTTTCAGGGAACGCTTCGGGGTCACGTCGCAGTCTTCTAGGACTGCCTGGCCATGGGGTCAGCTTCTCGCAAAGGCGCCCCCCCTCCCCCGTCAAACGGTGCATCGAAACCCCCGACGACGCGGCAGCGACCCCGTCACGAGTCAGTTTTGGATGGGGGTGGTGGGGCCTGCTGCATCGATCCGTCAAATTGCTCTTCAGAAGGGTTGCAAGGGCGGAGGAGGACGACGACGGCCTCGGCAGCGACGACGCCGAGCCCGCCCGCGAAGGGCCGGGTGGCGGCGCAGCCGCAGGAGCCCGTGGGGGAGCCAGAGCCCCAGGCCCGCACCCCACAGGAGGGATGGAGCGGGGGTGGGGGGAGCCGGGCACTGACAGACCGTCCCCGCAGACAAGTCGACGGGAGATCTGCGCGGGTTCCCTCGACATTCGCATTCGAGTGTGCCGGTGCAGCCCCGAGCCAGTTTCGCTAACCGACGTGCGTTTCGCTGGACGCGCTCGGTAGTTCTGGACGTCGATGGGCCATCCCGCTGGGATGCACCCGGAGTGCGGTGCCGTGCGCACGTGGAGTGCCCTTGGCAGCCATCACTGAGAGGCGTTGTGCCGGAGGGGGTTCATTCCACCCCCGAGGGAGGGGGCGTGTAGGTTCCACGCGGCAGCGTGGCTGCGCGCGTGCCTCCTGGGACAAGCTGCGTTCCCCCCCCCCCCTGTCCACGGCTCGCCAGAGTCCGGGCCGCGGCACGCTAACGAAGACCTCCTTGGTTTATGATGTTCGTGTTGACCACCAGAAAGAATTTCGAGCACCAAGAAAGTTTCTAAACTAGAGGGTTTTCACGTGTCGGGCCCTGGGGGGCGATGGTCGTTCGACACCGTTTCGATACTTGTCTGGGTGCTCGATCGAAATTGTTTCTGGGATGTGGTCCTCACGTACGGTGGGCGCAACACAATCCGTGGTCTGAGCTTGCCCCCCCCCCCTTCGCCCGCTCCTCCCCTCCGCGGCCGCCCTGCCTCGCTTTCTCCTGCCCCCTGCAGCACACAATTTTCGCTGGGTAAGGCTTCGGGCTGCGCAGAGGCGGGCCCGCCATGCAGCCTCAGCTGGCCTCAACAGGCCCCCGAGTAGTCCCAGCTGGCCTCGACATCATGCAGTGGCGAAGCGTCCTGGCTCTCCTATAGGCCACCAACCAATGTGAACCTTCTGTGGTCTGCACGAAGTTGTCTTAGAACAATTCTGGCTGGGACTGTACTGTTTTAACACATCGCTTTCATGTTATAAGAACATTGTTTTTGTTATTAAAACATCTTCTGGCTTCTAAGAACGTTTCGTGGTAGGCCTATAGAAATGCCAGGACTGTCGGTCCCTGCTCAACAATGGGCCCCCAGATTAGTCCGGCGCGGTCTCGACACCATGGCGCCGCCTCTGGCGGCGCCCCTGGGGCGTTCCGCGCCCCAGGGTTACGGTTGGGGTGTTAAGACCGGCCCGGACTGTTCAATGGGCTTGTTGAGACCAGCTGGGACCATTCGGGGGGCCTGTTGAGGCCAGGGCTGCTTCGGGGGCTGCCCGTGAGAAACCCGATGCCTTACCATATGGCGCAGGGATGGGAGATAGGTGAGGGGGTTCTTACTCGATGCGGTCGTGGCTGTACGTGTGCCTTCATGGGTCCCTGATGGCGGAGCTCGTAGGCAGAGGCTATGCGTCAAGCCAAGTCCAGTCGAGGAGCATATGGACGCAGCTCGCTCCGCAAGCAGAGACGGAGGGCGTGAGACATTACGGACTACGGCAATACACCACTCAGAGCCCATGGCCTCCACATGAGGCACGTTTCTGCCCTATCTCCTCCCCTCTTCTGTATGACTGCGCGGAGCTGCTAGGTCCACAGGCCTAGCTAGCACGACGGTATTTCGGGGGGGTTCTATCAAAGAGGGGAGATGAGCGATGCCTCCGTTTGGACGGCGATGTTATCACCTAGGTGCTGTTGTGCTTGCACTACTCCACCTCTTAGAGTCTGTCTCAGGGAGGGCGGGTTTTGATTCGATGCGGGCATGGCTGTACGCGTGCCTCTACGGTTCCATGACAGCGGAACTCGTGGGTAGAGCTAAGGCTGGGCAGTCGAAGGCCAGATTGGCAGATTGGACATGGTCTCTGGGACCGCTGGTGTCAGTCTCCTTTGAATTTCAATATGGCGCCAAACTGGTGCAGACTGGAGTTCGTTTTTGTTCGCCAGGTTAGATCAGATTGGCTTCCTCGCCAGATTGCCAAACTGGACCCGCCAGATTGGCGCCAGATTGGCTTCGACTAACTAGTCATGAACACGACGCGAGTAACAGTTTGGCACGCGCGCGTGTTACGGGCATCGTTGCCCTTGGCACCCTTGGGAACGGGCGAGGGAGCGGTGCTGGGCCAGATGAACGAGAACAGGAGTGGCGAACGAGAAATCTGAAGAGAGAGAGAGAGAGAGAGAGAAAGAGAGAGAAAGAGAGAGAGCAGGCCTTGTAGCCTAACTCGCGCGAGGGCATTCTAGTTCAAAATGCCAGTGCACCAGTGCAGAGACGGCAGCTATAGACTCGTTGGGTGGAGATGGGAGGTCGTTTATTGAAATGAGGAAATGAGGGGGACAGCGAGCCTGATTGGGCAACGGCGACAATGTGAGCCAACCTATCTTTAGTAGGCATGTTGTGCGACAGGGCGCATACATCAATGTTTATTTGCGGGGCAAAATGTGAGGCGCGCTCTTGGCAAAGTGGAGCGTAAATTCGTGCACTCGCATCTGCCCTTGGGCGTACACAGTACACGGCCCTGATGCTTGTGCCCTTCCTGACAATCTTCTGAAGAGTGAGCGCGCTACCGCGAGTCGAGCAAGCATTGATTCCAGCGCGCCGAGTGTTTCTGAAGGCGTCCGCCTCTGGCAATAGTGATGTGGCACTGATAGCTTAGGGGGCAACGGACAAGGTAAGCCAGGCAGGAAGGCCACGCACAGGTACAGTTGTGTTGAACAGCAAGTGGTCTGCTCAGCCTCGTGCCCGCGACGCCCGCAGCGACCGCAGAGGCGGCGACGGCGATGATGACGACACCAACCAGCCTTGCGAGGCTGCGCCCGCGCAGCCACAGCCGACGACGACGCCGCAGCCGGCGCTGGTGCAGCCGGCCAGCGGAGACGGAATTGCCCGTCACGGATATTCAACGCTCAGGCAGTGACGGGGCGTCTAGGCTTGCCTATAGGCCCACCGAAGAATGTTCTAGGAGCATTTTGTGGTTTGCACGAAATCTCCTTTGAACATGTCTGGCTGAGACCGTGTTGTTCTAACACATCGGTTTCACGTGTTAAGAAATTATCGAAGACGCCTACGGCGAATCACCGCCGCCCCCTGCCTTTTTGGAAGCGCCTAGGTGGTCGAACGTTGAGGCCAGACCTGCCAAGCTATCGGACCATGTGTTCCCCGAATCGGTTTGGAGAGCCTTCGGGGAACACGTGGGCATCTTGTTGAAAGTCATATTGGCCGCCTGAAGGCCAGTTTGACCCTTTCGGGCCTTCTTGGAGGACTTCTTGGAGGGCTCTTGGGCCGTCTTGGAGGCCATCTTGAGCGTCTTGGTCTTGGGCCGTCTTGGGGGCCTCTGGGGGCCGTCGTGGGCCTCTTGGGCGATCTTTGGGTGCACTTGGGCCGTCTCGGGCCGTCGGAAGGCAGAAAAAAAGCAAATGCAACAATCCTTCAAAAACTCGTGGGGAATCAATGATTTTGAATTTTTCGGCCCTTCCTGGAGTATTGGAAGTCTCCAACTTCGGCCATCTTGGTGGGCTCCTGGCCCGTCCGACGCCGTCGGAAGCCGTTTGGGGGGCCCCTCTGGGCCGACTTGGGGTCCTCTTGGAATGCTGCAGGGCCGTCTTGGGAGCTATTTTGGGTGTCTTACAAGCCTCCTGGGCCGTCTAGGGGGCCTCTTGGGCCGTTCTGGGGCCATCTTGGAGGCCTCTTGGGCGATCTTTGGGCGATCTGTGGGGGCTCTTGGGCCGTATCGGCCGAAAAGAAACAAATGCCAACCACCGTCAAACACCTAGGAAAAACAATGTTGTTGGCCTTCCTGGAGGCCCTCTTGGAGGCCTCTTGGGCCGTCTTGGGCCAGCTTCGAGTCAACTTCGGCCATCTTGGTGGGCTCCTGGCCCGTCTGACGCTGTCGGAAGCCGTTTGGGGGGCCTCTCTGGGCCGACTTGGGGTCCCCTTGGGGTGCTCCTGGGCCGTCTTAGAGGCCATCTTGGGCGTCTTGGAAGCCTCTTGGGTCGTCTTCGTGCCCTCTTGTGGCCGTCTTGGGGGCCTCTTGGGCAGTCCTGAGGCCATCTTCGAGACCTCTTGGGCGCTGTGGGGGCGATCTTGGGGGCCTCTTGGGCCGTCTTGGGTTGTCGGAAAGCCGAAAAGGAGCAAATACGAAAATCCTTCAAAAACCTATGGAAAATCAATGAGGCCTCTTCGGGCCCTCCTGGAGGACCTCTCGCAGACCTCCTGGGCCGTCTTGGAGGCCTCTTGGGCACCTCTAGGGCCGTCTTGGGCGGTCTTGGAGGTTTCTTGGGCGGACTTGGAGGCATCTCCTCCTCTCTTGGGCGGACTTGGAGGCCATCTTGGAGGCCATATTGGGCCATCTTGGCCGTCTTGGAGGCCATCTTGGCCGTCTTGGACGCCATCTTGGGCCAACTGGAAGACACAGCGGCACGACGGATGCGTTTTGAGATCTTTTCCGGGTGGCCGGCGGGACGGGCCGAAGCCCCAGGGGCAGTTCTTTTGGAAAAAGAACCAAAACCATATCATCCTGCACGCCAGGCACCCCTGCGATGAATCGACAGGGGGCGGCGGACGGCCCATCCCGCCACGGTGCCTGGGTTGTGGGTATGAAGCTTATTGGGTGTTCGTTGGGATCTCGTGGGAGGCCTCTCGGAAGCCCCTTGGAGACAGTCTGGACGCATCTTCGAGGCCGTTTTGGGCCTCTTGGGGTCTCTTTTGGGCCGTTTTGGAGCCTTTTGGGGGCCTCTTGAGCCTTTTGGGGCCTCCCGGGCACCTCGTGGGGCCTTTTGGGGGGCCTCTTGGGGAGGAAGGCTCGGATTTTCGGTACGTGCTCCTTCTCGTGGGCCCCATTTGGGGGCCGTCTTAGGGGCCCTCTTGAACCGTTTTGGGGCCCTCTTGGAGGCCTCTTGGAGGCCTCTTGGGCCGTCTTGGAGGCCTCTTGGGCCGTCTGGGGGCAACTTTGAGCGTCTTGGAGCGATCGTTCGGCGACTCGGGGCCCTCTTGGCCAGTCTTGGGGCCCTCTTGCGCCCCAAAAAATTACGCGCCACCATTTTCCAGAGCCCAGGGGGCACCTGGGAAGCCCCAGGGGGCACGCGGCAAGCCCGGGGAGACTCATGAATTTGGAGTCCCGGCCAAAGGACCTGACGACACGCACACTTCGCGCCCAGAGGAGGCACGGCGGTAGGAGTTTGCCATTCCGAACACCAGTGTGTTCTAATCACACTTCGTGGTAGGCTTCACTAGGAATTCCAGAGCGGTCGGTCCGTGCTCAAAACGCTATGAAAAATCAAAGATGGAGGTTTTCGTCGTCTTCGGCCTCTCGGGGCCCTGGCTGGGCGCCTGGGCCGCCAAAACAAAAAAACGTCTCGGGAGGAACAGCCAGTCGCGGAAAAGCAAGGCTGGTTGCCCCCCAGGTCGATGATCCATGGGACGTGTGTTAGCCTATCAAGCGTAAGTGTTACCCCGCTCGGTTCCGCCTATAGCTCGCAGCCTGTGTCGGCCCTCGTTGCGCCGCCTACGTCGTGTTGAAGGGTCTCGGTGAACAACACCTGCATCGCGATATTCGCAACTGCATGTGGTTGGGACCCTCGCCAGCAGAACGTGATTGTTATTCTTGTTCTGATTATTACCTTTTCCGCGCTCAGCGTCATCGACCCAGGACGCGCGCACGTCGCAGCCTCCAAGCAAACCCGGAACGACGATTGGGCAAACTTGCAGTAGGCGAGCGCGTACGCAGAACCTTGGCTTGGAGACAGGGACACCGATGGGGCCAAGGCGTTCCATCTCCGCGAAAGTCATAGGCAGGTATTTGGGCACGTGCGGGGACATGCTGGGGTCCCAGGGCGCGTTTCCCTCGGGCCCCGCCTTCCATATGGCCTCATGGACAGGTCCGCCCCCGCCACCCCCCGAGGAGTTGCCTGGGGGGCTATCTCAATCTCGATCGACCTCGCAGAAGGCAAACCGCTTCGGGCCACCCTCTGCTTTTCAGAGGTCCGGCGTGGCGCGCGTGGCTGCCCTACGGTCAGCGCCAGTGAGACGGGTACCCAGGATTTTTTCGGCAGCGCGCAGAAATGTGGCAGGAATCGAATCCGAATTGCTCGACGCGGAGTTCCTCACAGCATGTGCATCTCATATTCTCGTCACGTCTCATTGAGGAATTCTGCCTGGGAGTGTATGGATGTGAGAGCAAGTCCGTGTAGACAACAGGCGCGACAACGACGACGACGACGACGGCGACGACTTCAGTGACGTCCCCCTCTGGGTATCTTTCAAGAGGTTCGAGGGGGAATTTCTCCTGCCGTTCTACGCCCGCTCTCTGGCGTGCGAGTCGCGGTGGTTAACCACTTGTGTGTGAGCCTAATTGGGAGCGGATCTGATCATGAGTAATCAGAGTGTGAGCGAGTCCGAGTGCGAGAGAGTCGTGGTATGATTGAGCCTGACTGTGAGTAAGTCTGAATATTCGAAGGCTGAGTACGAGTGGGTCTGAGTACGAGCGAATGTGAGCGCGACCGAGTCTGCCTGCGAGTGGGTCTGAGGGTGGGTGAGCCTGCGTGTGAGTGAGTCTGCGTGCGAGCGCGATAAATACGAATCTGAATGCAAGAGAACCTGAGTACGAGGTAGTGTGCGTATGAGTGAGTCTGCGGGTGGATGAGTCTGAGTGTGCGTGAGTTTGAGAGTGAATTAGTCTGGTTGTGAGTGAGTGTGAGTTTGAGTGAGTTTGAGTACGAACGAACCTCAATATGAGCGAATCTGAGTATGAGTGAGTCTGAGTATGGGTTGGTCTGAAAGGTGATGGGTGAGCCTAGGTGAGGAAGAGATGGTGGTGAGTAAGTTTGAGTGTAAACGAACGCGCGTCGGAGAAGGAGGGGAGTAAGTGAGCACATATGTCCCAAAACAGAAGTCTGGTGGACAAAAACGGGCAAACCACCTGAGGCATCCCCACAATTTGAGCGCGAATCCTGGAGTGGGTCCACCCTTGGCGGTTCCCCCTTGGGGTGCACAATTGCATCGCTTGCTACATGGTTGTAAGCAGGGGACGATCAAAAGTGAGAAATCTGGGCGGCAGAAACAGGCAAACCTCTTGAGGCATCCCCACAATCTGGGCGCGAACGGGCCCGTGAGATACCCCTGGCAGCTACCTTTTGGGGTGCCCAATCCGTGCCCGTGAAATACCCCCCAGCACATGCCCAAGAAATCCTCACGCAGCGTCGAATGTTCTGCGTTTATGCAAGTATTTGTTCCGCTCAGAAGCAGGAAAGTGCCACTTCTGTTCGGGATCACGCAGGAAGCCGGGAGGAACAACATTTTCTTTGAATCGACCAAACGCCCATGCGATTGAGTCCCCATCAGGGTGGCGCAGACACGGGCCAGGACATGTCATTCGCCGACGTCACAAGAAAATCCAAGATCGTGGAGGAGGAGGAGGAGGAGGAGGAGGAGGAGGAGGAGCCCAGGCAGGCCCGCGGCGTGAAAAGGTCGAGAGGCGGGAGTCTTGTTGGGCCGCCCTGGGCCCCCGCTCCGGGGGAGTGGCCCAGCCGCATTGGAGCAGAAGCGGGATCGAAGGATCGCGCCGCATCGCCGATACTTCGACGATGCATTTCGAAAACAAACGCCATATATTATTCACTGCGTGGAGCTCCCCATATGTGCATCTATTCGCATGGACCTGTCCGCCGTGAATGTCTAGGCGCAAGAGCTTTCGAATATAAACGGCCTTCAGTTGTGACGGTCTGGACATGAATCTAACTGCGAATGAATTGGAGTGTGAATGAGCCTCAGTAGTACGAGCGCGTCTCTGCGCATGAGCCTGGGGCCTCCTGGGGCCTCCTGAAACCTACTGGGGCTTCCTGGGGTCTCCAGGAGCCTCTTGTGGCCTCC